AGTAACGGCGTTACTAACGCCGTTACTTTTTTCAGTAACGAGTAATCTAACTAATTACTTTGACAGTAACTATAACGCCGTTATCATTTCTGACATCCCGTTACTGCGCGTTACTCAAGACGCACAATGAACGTGTTGTCATGAGAGAAGGGAGGATGAGAAAACCTCTCAGCAATTATTGGCTGATGTAAATCATATTTCCTTTACAATCTACATGTCTACAGTTGAGAGGATGGCTCATAAATTGTGTTTTTGAAACAAATATGGGTCTTAATCGCGCTCAACCACGGCTTGCATCACCGTGAGGTCAGCCACAGAGTAGCGCATGTGAGCGCAGAAGTCGGCTGCATACAATTCCATCGATAAGCTCCTTGCTCTTCCTGGTTTATCTGCTAAGGACAGCAACAGGTTTGGCTAACATACATATAACACATTTTTACATAATCTAAAATGCACATAGGGTAATTTTTCAATTACTATAGGAATGATAAGAAAGAGAGGTGAAGTGTAAGACGGTTGATTTTAGAAATTGGATGCAGCCGGCTGCAGCAAAACAGAGGAGTTTACGGAGGACACGCGCGTTTTGTTTTACTTTTTAAAACTCATTGGACTCATTTCCAAATGGAGGATTACATATCTACGCTCAAACCATTCACTGGATTTAAACAAGGAACTGGTCTGAACCGAAGTGGACTGTGCAGGTCATTTATAAGGTATAGCTATAAGGTAAGACCCATAACTCATAGTTTTGCGTTTTGTATGAACAAACAATGCGGGCATAAAACATATTTTGCTGTAGCCAAACAAATTGTCCACTTGATTTATATGATGTATATGTTCATCTGATTGGACTGAAGTCAGTGCTTCACCGGTGTTTCCACATTCACAGTGGCGGGCTTTACAGCACAGTGAGAGATGAAGAGTGAACAGGACTTCAGCAGCAAAACAGCCTTTTCTAGATGAAAATATTGGCACTGTTAAAGGTAAAAATGCGCACGTCGGGTGCACATTATGTTCCAGAACAAAACGAAAAAGTAACGCAATAGTTACTTTTACTGGTAACTAGTTACTTTTATAGTGGAGTAACTCCGTTAGTAACTCAGTTACTTTTTAGGAGAAGTAACTAGTAACTATAACTAATTACTTTTTCAAAGTAACGTGCCCAACACTGCCTGGGAGACACACCAAACATGTGGAAGAAGGTGCTCTGGTCAGATGAAACCAAAATCTAACTTTTTGGCCACAATGCAAAACGATATGTTTGGCGTAAAAGCAACACAGCTCATCACCCTGAACACACCATCCCCACTGTCAAACATGGTGGTGGCAGCATCATGTTTGGGCCTGCTTTTCATCAGCAGGGACAGGGAAGATGGCTAAAATTGATGGGAAGATGGATGGAGCCAAACACAGGACCATTATGGAAGAAAACCTGTTGGAGTCTGCAAAAGACCTGAGACTGGGACGGAGATTAATCTTCCAACAGGACAATGATCCAAAACATAAAGCCAAATCTACAATGGAATGGTTCACAAATAGACGTATCCAGGTGTTAGAATTGCCAAATCAAAGTCCAGACCTGAATCAGATCGAGAATCTGTGGAAAGAGCTGAAGACTGCTGTTCACAAACGCTTTCCATCCAACCTCACTGAGCTCGAGCTGTTTTGCAAGGAAGAATGGGCAAGAATTCCAGTCTCTCGATGTGCAAAACTGATCGAGACATACCCCAAGCGACTTGCAGCTGTAATTGCAGCAAAAGGTGGCGCTACAAAGTATTAGTGCAAGGGGGCCAAATAATATTGCACGCCCCACTTTTCAGTTTTTTATTTGTTAAAAAAGTTTAAATTATCCAATAAATTTTGTTCCACTTCACGATTGTGTCCCACTCGTTGTTGATTCATGACAAAAAAATTAAAATTTTATATCTTTATGTTTGAAGCCTGAAATGTGGTGAAATGTTGAAAGGTTCAAGGGGGCCGAATACTTTCGCAAGGCACTGTACAACCAGTTAAAAGTTAGTGTTGACATGTCTGTTTTGTGATGAACCATGATTTGAGATGAGTTTTGAACAGATTGTATGAGGCCAGCTCTCTGATGTTTGATGGGACTGTGTTCCACTCCTGAGACGCCCTCACAGAGAAGGCACTCTGACTGAAGGTGCTCTTCCGGAGTGGGATAACACAGTCCTCACGGGCCCCTGGTTACCCTGTGTGTTGTGTTCCTGACCGTGATAAATTGGTTGAGTGGAGGTGAAGATGAACCATGAATGATCTTGTAAATGAGACAGAGATTACAGTATTTGATCAAATTTGCCCAATTTAGAAGGTGGTGTTTTTGCAAAATGGAACAGTGGTAAAATCTTCGTGCTTTTTTGTCCAATATCTTAAGTGTTTGCTTGTATAATGATGCTATTGGTTTTAGTGATGTTTTGTTCGCCTGAGACCATGTGGTTAAGCAGTATGTAATGTGGGACAGAACCATAGAAAACATGAATAATCGTGCAGACTGAAGTGATAAGTTGGATCTAATGAACCGGAAATTAGCTAAGTTGAATGTGACTTTATTAGAAATGTTTTTTATGTGTGATTTGAATGTTAGCTTTGAGTCTATTGTTACTCCAAGATATTTGTATTCTGTTACGATTTGAATTTTTTGACCGGAAACTGAGATATTGATGTCGTTATATGAGGTGTTGGATTTTGAAAAGAACATTCCAACCGTTTTATTGACATTGAGCTTTAGGCAGCACTGGTTTAACCAATTTGTGAATTGAACCATAGACTGTGATAATTTGTCGGCAGCTTGTGAGGGGTTTTTGTCGTGTATGTAAATGACTGTATCATCTGCGTACATTTGAACATTTGCATGCGGGCACACTGATGGAAGGTCGTTGATGTAGAGTGAGAAGAGTAGTGGGCCTAAAACGGAACCTTGTGGGACACCGGTGGACAATGGAAGAAAGGGGGAGCAGTGATCATTGATCCTGACAGCCTGTACGCGATCTGATAGATATGATTTTGTCTATTTTATAGTGAATTTTTTTTATAGTGTATATAAAAAATTATATATTATACATATACAATTATACAATACATTATACAATACATATAAATTATATATGTATTATATAAAATATAAACTATTTTTTATAGTGAAATTTTGTCTATTTTATATAGTTTTATTTGTGAAAGATTAAATTTGCTGAGTTTTGAAATGAATATTTCATGATTTACGGTGTCAAATGCTTTTTTGAGGTCAAGAAACACTGCTCCTACAACTCCCCCTTTATCCAGTAATTTTTTTACATTTTCTATGAGGAAAACGTTTGCTGTTTCTGTGGAATGTTGCTGGAGTACCCGGAGGAAACTGGTCCGGCCGGGATTCGAACCCAGGACCTTCTTGCTGAGAGGCGAGAGTGCTATCCACTCAGCCACCGTGCCGCCGCTTTAGTTCTTGATGGTTTAAGTGACCCTATCATCTGTCCAACTTCAGCTTCTGTCACATCAACAAAGGTGAAGGATGGTCCCAAAATGTTCTTTGGATAAACAGTCATCTTGGTTGAGGGGAAAGATCCAGTGATTGCGGATACGGACTCAGAGAAAAAAACATTTGTTGCTTCAGCAACTTTAAGTGGGTTTTTTATCACTTGTCCATTCACCCAAATTTCTGAAAGTGTTTTCCTTTTTGCGTCCTGTCCTACTAATTTCTTCAGTTAGTTCCAAATAGTTTTAGAGTTCCCTTTAGCATTTTCTATTATGGTTAGGAAGAAGTTAGCTTTGGCCCTGTGTATACTATATACAACTTTATTTCGCAGCGTTGTAAACAGCTTTCTAGCAGTATTTGTCTTATTTTTCATTGCTGTTTTAAGTGCAAAATCTCTTTCCTTCATTAGTTTTAAAATATCCTGATTCATCCAAGTTAATTGATTTTTATTTTGTTTCCTATGATTTTTGCACTGTGTTAATTGCGCTCTATAGTTTTTAAGAATAATTTACTGTCTTCATCAATGTCTTTACCCTGCAGTAGTTGATTCCTATGATTTTTGCACTGTGTTAATTGCTCTATAGTTTTTAAGAATAATTTACCGTCTTCATTAATGAAGACAGTAGTAGTTGACCCTGCAGTAGTTGATCCCAGTCTATTTGTTGAATGGAGTTTCTGAACTTTTCCTGCATGTTTTTGGGAATTCCAACATATTCATTGTCACTGCTATTTGAGTGAAAGCTCTGATATGAGAGCTTTCTGGTCACAAGAATCAGATTGTTGTCAGACAGGCCAGACACAAAATTAAAAGATGTAATTATTCTTTCAGGTCAATTTGTGAATGCTAAATCAATCTGGGTACTACTTGTTGAGGTTATTCTTGTGGGTCCTTTCACCATTTGGGAGAATTCAAATTTGTCCGTTATTCTTTTAAGATTTTTCCTACATGATGTGTCTTCCCAGTTTATATTAAAATCTCCTAAAATTATGATCTCTTTGCTTAGGTCACATTCTTTAAGTAATTTTGCAAATTTGTCATAGAAGCTTGCATCTGATGATGGAGGGCGATACATAACAATGATCATAAATGTCATTTCTGGTTATAGTATTATCTTCAGACCTAGGCATTCCAGCCCATCATCCCATTGAACGACATCACATTTAAAATGTTGTTTTAAGTATATCATGACTCCACCGCCCTTGGCTCCTTCTCTGTCTTTTCTGAACAGCCTGTAACCTGGGATATTAAGTGCTGCAGAAGGTGAATTTTTATGCAGCCATGATTCCGATAAGCAAAGGTAGTCTAGGTTTGAATTGAGTAACAAATGACTAATTTGATCTGATTTTGATAAAACGCTTCTTATGTTTATATGTCCGCCTAAAATTCCTTTGGGCTTTGTCTTTGGGTCCCAGATGAGTTTAGAATGAATGACAGTTTGAAAAAACGGCCATTTCCTGTGGTTCGTGATCCCTGGATTAATTAATTTACGGCGTGAGCCACAGCGTGTCACATTTCTCAGTAGAGCTCTTGGAATAGCTGCGTAAGAAGACGTTTTCTGATCTGTACCACACGCATTGTCCAGACACGGGACAGAAGGTGCAGCGCATTGATCGCAGGAACTGCGCGAGTGGATTTTATCCGAATCTTCAGTACACAGTTGTGGACACGGTGCCATCCGATGCGAGCCACCACCAAACGGCCAACTCGCCCTCGCGACTCCAACGTCACCCTCAGGACCCTCATCTCAGACACACCGCTCGGAAGCCGTTTGCGATGGACACAGAAGAGGCGGAGGATCAGCGTGGTGTGCATTAAAACACGATGGAATACCCGGGGAGCTTACCTGTAAGGTAGGAGTAATGCGTGTACTCTCTGATGACAGCAATAGCAGGTTAGCATCTCCCGGTAGCCGTGTCTCTGTGTGATGATCATGAGTGACAGCCCCTGTCACACCCGCAGCCGCCATCTTTGGTATTTCTAGGGAGTGCATTTTTCTTTATTCCTTTTTATTTGATTTGCTAAATATTTATTGTAACAGGATTTTCTAATGTTGACAGTAATTTTACATGAACAATGTAATAAAAATAAAATAAATATACATTGGAGGTAGTGGAGTAATCAATAGGAGTACAAATGCACAAAAACAAAAACAAAAATCACATAAAAATAAATTTATCATACTTGTGACAGACCAAAAATATAAATTTTAGTCACAGCGAACACACTGGCTCCCTCAACGGGATGAAAATGGCATGTGAGCATGGCATTACACTTGAGCACATGGTAAGCTAGCTAAATAAAAAGTACAGAAAAACTAAAAATGTGCACTAGAAAATGTGCAAAAGTACGTTCATTGCATCCTAACACATTTCCTACTAAATAAATCTTAGTGAATATTGCGGAAAATAAAGCTAAATGATTGAAAATATGTATTTTTCACAGGGACAGAACTAACCCTCTGAAGCATACAACGCGGGTTTGCAAGGGAAAGTTGAGTACCAAAATAAAACACGGGAGATGCGCGCGCTTCCGGGAATTTCATAATAAAACTTCAAAATAATAAAATTCATACAAAACTACATTTTAAAACATAATACAACCAGGACTTGTAAACAAAAAATATAAAGTGCATTTCTATATTCGTTACATCTAGCAGGTTCTTGCATAAAAATTAAGATGGTCACTTATTTAAAATTTAGAGCTGGATAATGTTTATATATTTGTTATTTTTAGCATAAATGCTAAAAATTTGTGTTCACAGTAAAGTGTCAATGAAAGTATCTGGACTTCAAAAGCGTATAACTCAAAAACTAGAATAACTATCATAACTATAAAAAGATTTTAAACAAAGACACATCAAAGAGATATTTGAGGTATTTTTGGCGACATTTTAAACGACCATATCAGCCTCTGATTTGACCATTCTACTGTGACAGAATGGTCAAATCTCGAGAAGAAAATAAAATGTACTCAACAATTAAACTTGAGAAAAAAATAAAATAATCTGGTCTGGTTTCACATTTAATTGGTTGACTATATGAAAGTATCACTTTGTTTCCACTGTGTGTAAAAAAAATAGAATCTCTTAATCAAATGTGGACATCTGAAAATACGTAACAAACTTCCGCAACGCTCATTCTATCAAATCATCATGTCCGTTACATAAAATAAACAGAGCCGCTATAGGAAACTTCTCTTATGTATAAAACAGTTATGTTCTAGCAACTTCTAATGGACAGAGGAGGTATTTGGATACATGAAAAACATTAAATATCTTCTGATTATTAAAATTAAATTTTTGGGCTTTCGTCACACTTTTGTGCCCTTTAGTGTAAATTCCTTTACATTTAGTGTGTGACTTAAGGGGCGTTCACACAGGACTTAACTTTGGCGTCGAAAGCGTCAGGTTTGCATTGAAAGTGAATGGTAAAGCGCGTCAGGTGAAGCCGAGGGGCCCGGCGTCACTTGGCGCGCGTCAAAAGCTTCAAGAGTTGCAAGTAATACGCGCTCACTTGAAAGCCTTGTTGAACACATTTATTTATTAGTTAAATAAAGAATTAAACTGTCTATGTGTGCCTCATTTCCGTGTGCCTTTGAACGTGTACCTTGTCTGGGCGCTAGCTGGGCAGCTTCTACAAGTATTTTTTTCTCTGGGCTTTTTTCCCGCCATAATCTGGATATGTGTAACAACACATACTGTTTACATGTTTATTTACACTTTTTTTACATGCGCAAACTGAACTTCCGGACGAATCCAGCAGCTACACTCCTCGTGGTGGTTGCCGGTCCCAGCAGGCCAAGCGTGTTGCAATTTGTTGACATAATGACCTATCGTAATATGCCGGTACAAAAAACAAAAAAAGATGGGTTTTGAGGACTGATTTAGTTTGGTAGTGAGTCAGTGTTTCTAATGGGCAGTGGCAGTGAGTTCCAGAGGGTTGGGGTATTTGGTCACTTCAAACAAGGAAGATCTCTGGCTCTCACAGACCTGTAACTTCTTCTTTAAGAAGCTCTTCTGTCCTCCACTCATTACCTGTATTAATGGCACCTGTTTGAACTCGTTATATGTATAATAGACACATGTCCACAGCCTCAAACAGTCAGACTCCAAACTCCACTATGGCCAAGACCAAAGAGCTGTCGAAGGACATCGGGAAAAGAATTGTAGACCTGCAACAGACTGGCAAGAGCGAATCTACAATAGGCAAGCAGCTTGGTGTGAACAAATCAACTGTGGGAGCAATTATCAGAAAATGGAATACATACGAGACCACTGATGATCTCCCTTGATCTGGGGCTCCACGCAAGATCTCATCCTGTGGGGTCAAAATGATCATGAGAACGATGATCAAAAATCCCAGAACCACACGGGGGGACCTGGTGAATGACCTGCAGAGAGCTGGGACCAAAATAACAACGGTTACCATCGGTAACACACTACGACGACAGGGAATCAAATCCTGCAGTGCCAGACGTGTACCCCTGCTGAAGCCAGTGCATGTCCAGGCCCGTCTGAAGTTTGCCAGAGAGCACTTGGATGATACAGCAGAGGATTGGGAGAATGTCATGTGGTCAGATGAAACCAAAGTAGAACTGTTTGGTATAAACTAGTGCTGTCCAACAATTAAAATATTTAATCGCGATTAATCGCATGAATTTCATAGTTAACTCGCGATTAATCGCAAATTAGTCACACATTCGTATCTATTCTTTATGTCCCTTGAATTAATTAAATAAAAATAATAAAATAAAATTAATAATAATAATAAAATAAAATAAAAAATGAATGAATAAGTAGATAAATATAATAATGTAGGGTGACTACTTATATTAGCTGATTATAATTACTTATTAGTATGAATTTGGTAGTGTGGAGCGGTTAGTCTCCGGAGCGGAAGCTCGCCGTTCCACCAACAGGTCTATGTTATTTATTTTGGGCACCAGCAGAGTTAGAAATCTGCACATAGACACCGACCAAATCTTTGCCTCGATATCAATCTATAATCTAAGGGTGTAGAATACGTTTTATCCGCCAGTGATAGTCCGAGATCTTAACAACACGACTCTGATAGGATTGAGTTAAAGAAAAGGGATTTATTGATTACAAAGTGGGATGAAGCATAACGAAAAAGGATTTCTGGTCACATTTGAGTAGGAGCTGTACACATTTCATTCAAATTGAGCACTGAACAAGGAACAGTCTTACTTTGGAGGAGCGTAGAGGATGGAGAAGGGCTTTGGGTTGGGAAACAGCCCACGTGGTTTCTTTGTCCGGGCAGGCGGGAGTTATGAAGCCTGCTAGTTTGGTCCAGCTGCTGGTGCACGCGAGCCAAGGAAAGAGGCTGGTGATGAACAGTTCGTAGATTCCAACCAGAAAGGAGGCTTGCGTGGAAGCGGGAGGCCTCGGGGCGGACGGCACAGTCGTTGCTGGAGGCGCGTACTTGCGTGGCCGCAGGGCTGAGAGGGAGGTTGCGAGCGCAGGCCGTGTAGGGAACACGTACCCACGGGTGGTTGTTATAGTGGATTCGGGGAAAACAAGAGAAAGAACAATGCTTTGCGGGTGCTTATATTGACTTCTGAAGGGGCGTGTCCATGTCTTCCCTCTCTGTGGACAAACTCCTTTACACAGACAGTTTGTAAAGAAACATACAGGATTGATGCAAATGATCATAAGACATGTAAAAACACACAGTGTATTTACATCACAGACATTAAACACACGAGTAAGGTCCGTAACGTTAATATCATTGAGTAATGTCCCCTTTGAATGTTCGTCTTGGGTGCGGTAGCGTCCAGTGTCCGCTAGGGAGCGTCAGAGGGCCGCGGGTGGACCCCTTGGTCCGTGGAATGCATTGTGACAATGCTGATTTGTATCAGCTCCTCTGTTAACATGAAAAAGGCACCAGATGGGTATCCTGCTGTTTTTATGGGTCCGATTGGCGTCGGTAATCCTCATGATTGATGGCGGCTTGTGGCTGACCCCATGGCTCCTTTGAAGCTGTATCTCTCCATTTGGTCAATGGTAAACAGAGTGGACAGGCTTGGCCCTGTCCTAAGTTTTAACCTTACAATAATAACATGAATAATATGTGCATATGTGCATATAATGATAATACACAAGTCAGGGTAAGCGAAAGCTTATTTTAATGCATGACGTTTTCGAAAAACACCTGGGGAAAAAGGAACAAAATAAGAGAGGGAATGGGCCTGCTTGGGGGTCTGTGTGTGTGTCGGATTTGGTTTTGATGTTGGCTGGGTTCCGCTTAGCTTGGTGAAACTCAGGCGGGCAGACTTTATATCTTATCTTATCTGTGGGTGTATGTGTATGTGTGTGTGGAGTGTGTGTGTTTATGGGTGTGGGTGTGTGTGTGTACAGTATGTGTGGGTATAGACCATAGACTGTATAGAAACATCATGGTGTCATTATGATGATGATAAACAATCTGTAAATATTTTGTAAATTTGATCATGTAAATACTCTGACGCTGTTTCTCTGTTTACTTTCGGTATATCTATGACTGTATACTGTTTGCTTGTATTGCCTTTTTTATTAACCCCTCCCCCCCATCTCCCACTTCATGTCCCCCCCTCCTACGTGCCCTTCTGGGTTTCTTCTTTGGCCCCCTGTATCTCCAACTACATATTGTTTGTAATCTCTGTCTACAATGTATCTGAACTAGTCCTTTTCTTTGTTTCTATTTTGTGTCTGTATATGTGTTTGTCTTGTGTTTGTGTTTTTTTTTTTTTTTAATTGCGCGATAAAAAAAATGATGCCGTTAATATTGATTTGCGTTAACGCGTTAATAACGCAATATTTTGGACAGCACTAGTATAAACTCAACTCGTCGTGTTTGGAGGAAGAAGAATACTGAGTTGCATCCCAAGAACACCATACCTACTGTGAAGCATGGGGGTGGAAATGTCATGCTTTGGGGCTGTTTTTCTGCTACGGGGACAGGACGACTGATCCGTGCAAAGGAAAGAATGAATGGGGCGATGTATCGTGAGATTTTGAGCCAAAACCTCTCTCCATCAGTGAGAACTTTGAAGATAAAACGTGTCTGGGTCTTCCAGCATGACAATGATCCCAAACACACCGCCCGGGCGACGAAGGAGTGGCTCCGTAAGAAGCATTTGAAAGTCATGGAGTGGCCTAGCCAGTCTCCAGACCTCAACCCCATTGAAAATCTGTGAAGGGAGTTGAAAGTCCGTGTCGCTCGGCGACAGCCCCAAAACATTACTGCTCTCGAGAAGATCCGCATGGAGGAATGGGCCAAAATACCAGCTACTGTGTGTACAAACCTGGTAAAGACCTATAGTAATCGTTTGACCTCTGTTATTGCCAACAGAGGGTATATTATAAAGTATTGACTTGAATTTTTGTTATTGACCAAATACTTATTTTCCACCATAATTCACAAATAAATTCTTTAAAAATCCTACAATGGATATTTTCACATTCTGTCTCTCACATTTGAAGTGTACCTATGATGAAAATTACAGACCTCTGTCATTATTTTAAGTGGGAGAACTGCGGTACTGCAGACTAGACCAGACTAAATTCACGTGGGCTACCCAGAAATTTTCCCCATAGAACTCAATGTAAATTTAAACAGCGCGACCTCAGCTGACAGAGAACCTACAGCTTTCATAAAGGTCGGATTTTGTGGGGATTTTAGTGTCCCTTGTCATCCTGAACTTTTTTTCTTCTTAAATCCTTCGGTGTTCTTTAAATCCACACTTTAGTGCCACAAACTCTGCTCGTCTGAATCTCACTCTAACTCCCGCTCTGATGAACTGCTCTGATTGGTCAGAGCGCGGCCAAGCCCCTCTGTGCACGTGCGTGAGACCCACACACACGTGTTTGGCGCAACGCATTGTGGGAGATCATCCACTGCGCAGAACCGGGAGGACCAGACGATGCCCAAATACAGACAAGTTTCCCATTGATCTTTGCGAGTTTCCCATAGATCTATGCGAGTTCCAGGCGACTTCCGCTAATCTTTCAGCCCCCATGCCGTCACAAAGCGCCACTGAGCACAACCATTCATTTGAATAGGGCGCCATCTTGAATCGCCGCGGCTTGGTGCTTCCACATACTGTATAAACCAGGGGTCGGCAACCTGCGGCTCTTTAGTGCTCCTCCAGTGGCTCCTGGAGCCTTTTCAAAAATGTCTGAAGATGGAGTGAGAGGGCTATATTTTATTTCTAGTTTGAATGTGGTTTCTCAAGGAGGAAAAACATTCTTAATGTATTTAGCTGTAATAATGTGCATAAGTATTATTCAATTTCAACATTTCTGTAAACAAATAGTGCGTCATGTCCTGTGGTGCGGCGCCGCGCCAGGCGGCTGCTGTTGTAAACAAACCGGCTTGTGCGCATGGATCCTAAAGCTAAAAAGAGAAAGAGTCGATAATAAGACTGGACTAAGAACAAGAATTAAAATTTGCTTCCAGTCAATGAGGAAGGACTGCTTTATGTTTGCGATGTAAAGAGAAAAGTTTTGTTGCAACACGAGGAACAATGAAGCGCTAAACACGGAACAAGGAATCATTCATCGCTAATTCAGAGCACCTACTTTCAGACTTCAAAAACCTCCGCAAAGACGGTGAAAGAAAGGGCCATTAAGGACATTCAGCTCCAGCAAATTTTAATAACATACTCCTCACTCCAGAGAAATGGAATCGCACCAAAAGCCCCAAAGGTCAGCGTCCTGGTCAGTGGACGAGGTCCACACGTCACTCTCTTTAGGCCCAAGAAATAATTCAAAGGCAGCGCAACGGAACACGGAACGAGGTTTTCAGGGAGATTGCTCGGTTATCCTGGAAATAACTGGTTGGCTACGTATCCCGTTGGCCCAAAGCTCTCACTGAAATGTATTTACTAGTGTAAAAGTGTGATTGTCTGTTGTACATAGTGAGCTAGCGACATTTAGGTATCAATAGCAAGCAAAGCTAGAATGTTCTTCCTGCGCCAGTGTGCTGTATTTTGCTCTTTCATGTGTTGCCGTTCTTTTTTTTTGCATCATCAACCGTCATCTGGACATCATCATCATCTGGACCTGGTCTCAAGAGACATACGTACTTTGGACTTTGTAAATTGTTAGTTTTTCACTTTACTTTTGTTTTTAATAAATCTGTGATTGTATGAAGACTTTGTTTAATTAATTTGTCTGTACACATGCAGAAAAGGGGTTCAAAAGTTACAATTTCATACCACATACTTTTACTTCTATTTACATTACGTACATTATATTTGTCAGTAAATCCGTATAACCCTTTTACAAATTCATGAACGAGGATGGAGGCATATTTGCTAAATACAAAGAGGTTTTATTTTTGATCAAAACACGAGGACAAAGTAAATGTTTTTTTATTCCTTTTTTACTTCTCACTCCTTTTCCGAGTTGATACTTGATAATTGATTTACAACATACATGTATTTTAAATAACTAAGTTATGTATTGATCTCAAAATAAAAACATTTTATTTCAAATGACAAAAAGTGATGCATCAGACCAATGTTACTAGTTAGGCGTTGCCTACGTGGTTACGTGGTCTGACAACTGTTGTGGAAATTCTGCACATACCAAGTGTAAAATAATGTAAACAACCCAGAGCTATAAAACCATCAAAGCCATCCGGCTTCGCCCAGGCCATCCGGCTTCGCCCAGGCATTACTCGTTGGAAAAGCAATAGGCCCTTACCCCAGTTGGGGCTCAGGCCTAATAAACCAAGGAATTCTTTTTTTAAACTTTGAACAATAACAATATAGGTTTTCATAGAAACCTATAATACAAATGATACATCGTTTTAAAGCGAACGACAAGGCAAACGCAACTATTAGGTTCTTGGTGATTGACGAGCGCGTTACACCTTGCCATCATGAGGTCACCCACCCCACCATAGAACCCCATTCATTACACTGTGTACTACAGCTGGAGCAAAGCCATTCCGTGCCTATGGCACGGACTTATCAGTGTCTGGGCACGTGCCGTCGCGTTCAGAGATGCGTCTGCGCCCGGAGATTGTGACTTATGACAGTTACAACGAGTAATGCCTGGGCTTCCCTCAGGCATTACTCGTTGGGAAAGCAATAGGCCCTTACCCCAGTTGGGGCTCGGACCTAATAAGAGATTTTTTTCTGAAAATCTTCGAGCAAAAACCATATAGGTTTCCATAGTAACCTATAATACAAATGATACATTGTTTTAAAGCGAACGACCAGACAAACACAACTATTGGGTTCTCGGTGATTAACCTTGGCTGTGTCCAAAACGCTAGGCATCAGGCCGCGTAGGGTGGATATGTAGGCTCGTGACGTCACTTCCGCAAGCGACGGCTATTGCAGGGGTGTCCAAAACCACTTGGCGAGCTCGCCAAGCGTAGGCATCATGACTTCGTCTCTATGGAAACGGCCACTTTTGAAGCAGATATGAAGGATGCATCTGATGTATGCTTTGCTGCCTTCCCCGCGTTGAGTTCGCGGGGTTCGATTCGCGGGGCTTATTTTCACTATGGAGGCACCAGCAGCAGCTACCCCTGTCCCCACTGTAGTTAAATGTAAGTATATTTCATGTTATAATATTCTTACATGACTAATAACACTTATAAAGAAATATTATTTGAATTTTAAGCAACGAATTGCGCTATTTCATTTGTTTTAGAGTGTTTTCTTCTGTGGCTTATGATAGCTTAGTTGTAACTGTAACTAAATTAGCATTGTCACAGTTAGTTATATTTTATTCCTTTATGTAGTTTTAACGTTTTATTTTGTTCATAGGGACGAAGGAGATGACGGAGACCTTCATAAGGGTGCGGGCGGAGAACGACGTCCTCTTCACTGGGGCGAAGTTCTCCGCCAGCACGGCCTGGAGGTACGAGCTGTTTGAGAAATGTCACTGTTTAGCTTATGATTAATTTAAGTTATCTGGAATTGACTTTAGGACTGCATATTTTGTTCTTAATGTGAGTTTAATACTTAATATATACATGGGTATACAAGGGTTTAGAAAAGCTGGTGCTATTCTCAAATACAACAGTCATCATTATGAAAAATCTATAATTAAGTTGTAGAAGAGTATATCAATCATAACAAAAGAACAAAAATGAGAAACGTATAACTATTGTTTTCTGCATTAACATAATCAATAATGTCAGGAATTCTCTAACACATAAAGTAAGTTTTTCTGTTTCTTTATTTTATTGTTTCTGTCTTTTCTATAGGACTGTCCTGGAGAAGCTTGACCTGCAGGAGGTGGTCACGCCCCTGCAGGCCCGTAAGAAGTGGGACAACTTGAAAAAAAAGTATAAAGTATGACAATCAATCTTGTTTTTGTGAGTTTGTCACATGTGTGTGCGTGTGTGAGTGTGTCTGCGTGTGTGTGAGTGTGTCTGCGTGTGTGTGTGTGCACTTGTTTTCAACTCCTGGTGGGTTCCATAACCTGAGATTCCACTCACGTCATGGGGACTGGTTTTACGTGGTGGGGCCCGAACACCGGACCCCACTGGTCCAAGCTTAATAATCAATGGGTAATGCTTTTCTAACGGTCCTTATGCAGTCTCTGTAAAAATATGGAAAGGACCCCTGGAGGTTTACTTTCCTGAAAAAAGTGTGTTATGTGTCGGAACCCTGGTGGTGGGTTTGCGGGATATCAAGGAGGGGCACACTGGGGCAATTTCAGTCCAGCAGGCTGGAGCCAATCATGGAGCAGCACAACAGAGGAAATCAGGTGTCAGGCTAGAAAAAGGTGCAAGTGTGTGGTTCATTAGGCTGCAAGAAATCATGGAGGAGCACACTGAAGCGCACGCTTACAAACCACTGGTAAGTGCTGACTACAAGTCATGACTTCAAATTGTTATATAGAATGATTACAAATTATTTGTTGTTTGTGCAGCTTAGTCAAGAGTCCCTAATTGATGAAGTCGACTCAGATTCTGACGATTTAACTGTCAAGAAGAAACCTGTAAAAAAGTATGGAAAAAGAAAAATCAAAAACACTTTTCTTCAAGACTCGGAAAGTGACGAACCAAAGGCAAATAAGATTGTTATCATGCAGCTGCAAAAGAAGAAAAATGGGGGGGGAGTATACAGCAAGAGACACTTCTGCCTCTACTGTTCAATGTCCTGCCACAAAATGTCCCGTCATTTGACTAGAAAACATGGAAATGAAAGTGACGTAGCCAGAGCATTGGCTCTACCTGTGAAATCTAAAGCACGTAAAATTCAGTTTGATTTGATCAGGAATAGTGGAAACCGTGAGCACAATTTTGAGGTTTTAAAGGCCGGCATTGGAACTTTAGTCCCAGCTAAACAGCCAAATTCCCCAGTTAAATCCAGTGAGTTTTTGCACTGTATAGACTGTGGGGCATTGCTTAAGCGAAAGTCGCTGTGGAGGCATGTGGCCAGGTGCCGGCTTTCACAGAAAGATGCCCAGGCTAAACCAGGTAGAAGTAGGGTCCAGTCCCTCTGCTCCCTAGCCCAGCCTGTACCGGAGGGCATCAGCAAAAAGCTGTGGTCTTTAATTTCGGCAATGCATCAGGATGAGGTCACGGGTGTTGTCAAAGCAGAAAAGGGGATTCTGAGACTCGGAGAGCACCTGTACTTAAAACACGGGCATGATAAGACAAAGCATGATTACATTAGGCAGAAAATGAGAGAAGTCGGTAGGTTAATTAACGAAGCAAAAACCGCAGGGAAACTGAAAACAATTAAGGATTTCTTTATTCCTTCCAACTTTAACCATGTGATTGATGCAGTCAGGTCTGTGGCTGGATATGATGAGGAAACAAATCAATACAAGACTCCATCCTTGGCCCTCAAACTCGGCCATAGCCTCAGAAAGCTAGCAGATATTCTTGAATGTGACTCAAAAATGGAGCATTGTGTTGATGAACTATTTATTAAAAACCTCCAACGAAGCCGGCTGCTTTTTGAGAAGAGGTGGGACGTCTGTGTTTCTTCTGCTGCCCTACAGACCCTCCGGCAAGCCAAGTGGAACACTCCGGACCTGCTCCCTCTGACTGAGGACGTTAGAGCCATGCATGCACATATTGAGGTATGTCGACCTGAATATGTGCAAACCCTAATAAGTGAGCCAACGTCTAAGCATTGGTCTAAACTGGCAGTTTTGACTCTTTGTGAGGTCATCATTTTCAATCGAAGAAGGGAAGGTGAGGTTTCAAAGATGCCACTGACAGCCTTTACCTTAAGAAGTAAGACTGGGATCCATTCTGACATTGCTCTGGGACTGTCCCAACTTGAGAAAAAGCTGTGTCAGCATTTTCAACGCATTGAAATTAAAGGGAAAAGAAGTCGGAAAGTGCCGGTTCTTTTGACTCCTGAAATGATTGCTTCGATGGAGGTGCTGGTGGAGAACAGAAGGGCCTGTTCCATCTCTGACCATAACCCATACTTCTTTTCCCGCCCGGGCGCAGACACCCACATCAGGGGATCAGACTCCCTACGCCAGGTAGCCAAAGAATGTGGTGCGGTGCATCCAGAGATGCTATCCTCAACCAAACTTAGAAAGCACATAGCTACTATGTCTACAGTTCTCAATATGAAAGAGAATGAGATGGACATACTTGCCAACTTCCTCGGCCATGACATTCACATCCACAGGCAATATTACAGACTACCAGAGGGGACACTGGAGCTGGCCAAAATCAGCAAAGTGTTGATGGCCATGGAGCAGGGAAGAGTGACGGAATTCGAAGGAAAGAGCCTCGACCAGATACAAATTGAGCCTGAAGGTAATTCTTGATATTATTAAAATATGTATGATTTTTTTCCCCTAAAGGCCACTTGTATTTTTATTTTCTGTGCGACAGGGAGAGCAGTAGAGATCCTCTCACAAACGGACGGGCTAAAAGAAACTTCAAGCGGAGAACCTTCAACCATTCATCCAGATGCACCCCATGGTAGTGGCAGTGCCCCTTCTGGTAAGTGTACCAGGTGGGGGATTACAGCCAGGCTGCTTGGTCCTCACCCTGGGAGTGTATATTGCTAATATATTTTTATTTCTCTCCCTAGAACGTGTAAGAAAGCCATGGTCTGCATCTGAGGTGAAGGCTGTGGAGAAGACCATGACACCTTTCATACAGACTGGAAAGGTCCCTGGGAAGTCTCACTGCCTGGCCTGCATTAATGCCTCACCAGATGACCTTAGACATCGGACATGGAGTGGCATTAAATTCTATGTCAAAAATAGAATCACTGCAATTCGAAAACAAAATCTAAAATAAAATTCCTTTAAAATAGTTGTTTGGTTTCTATTGACTGTTTTGTATTACTTAAAGTCTTGGTAAAAAAAGATTATGTCTATGGGTCCCATTCTGAACGGCCCTGTCAAAGGGACCCACCAGGTAACAAAAACGTGTATGTGTGTGTCTGCGTGTGTGTGAGTGTGTCTGCATGTGTGTGAGTGTGTCTGCATGTGTGTGAGTGTGTCTGCATGTGTGTGAGTGTGTCTGCATGTGTGTGTGTGTGTCTGCATGTGTGTGAGTGTGTCTGCATGTGTGTGAGTGTGTCTGCATGTGTGTGAGTGTGTCTGCATGTGTGTGAGTGTGTCTGCATGTGTGTGAGTGTGTCTGCATGTGTGTGAGTGTGTGTGTCTGCCTGTGCCGACATGAGCCCATCATGACTCCACATATATTTCTTGTGTTAAAGGACTGTAAATGCCCTGGAACAGGCCAGGGCGTGGAGGGGAACCCCACTGCTGGGACTTGGCCCTGGTTTGGCATCATGGATGAGGTGTTGGGGCAGAAGCCGTCCATCAACCCTCCTGTCCTAATCGCCTCCATCCCTGATGCCAGACCAGGGCCAAGCCAGGCCAGAGAGCAGGAGCCGGAGCAGGAGGAGGAAGAGCCAGAGGCGGAGCAGCAGAGAGGAACGGGAAGGAAGAGGAAGAGGGGAGAGAGCGAGCTGGTGAAGCTGTACAGGGAGGATCTGAGGATGCAGAGGGAGGAGGATGAGCGGCGGGCACAGGAGAGGAGTGCCAATTTTGACAGGCTGTTTTGCCTCCTCGAAAAGATGATTGAAAATAAAAACAAATAAAAATAAACTATTTTTGTTTGATTTACATTTCGAAAAAGCCCATAAAAGTATAACATACATTTGAAATGATGGATAGATCAAGGTCTCAAGGTCTTCACATTAATAGATTAAGCCGTAAGTAAGTTAAATAAATTAATATCTATTTACTTTGGGACTTTCTCAGAGTGAATTTGGTGGGGCCATATCTAAGGCTTCCAACCTGAGAACATTTGGCAAACCACAGCTCTGATGTGTTGGTTATTTTAAAAACAAATGTGTGTTTGTCTACCCAACAGTGGCTTTACATTTCCCCTTGAAGGTGTGTATGATTGGTTAATTTCTTTATGTAATTTCTATATTTTGTATATACACAGATTTTATACACTTGTTTGATGGGACAAAAACCCCCTGGTAAATGTGTGAAGCAGTTCGAGAGCTCAAGTATTATTTTGTGGAATCAAAAATATAGCACAAGAAAATCAATGTAACCATTTATTCAACATACAATAAAATAAAACTATTAACAAGCCATACAGGATAAACCTGAGAGTGCCAGTGCTGTGTGGCTAAGCAGGGACTCGTTTGGAGTGTTGCTGAATCCCATTCTCCAGGACCAGCAACATGGAAGGGTGCAGAGATCAGGGTCCTGGTCTTCCTCTTCTGGCGAGTGAGGCATCATACCGGGGGTGTCCACTTCATCGTCCATTTGTTGGGTTTGCACGGCTGGCTGGGGCAATAGATGGCTGCCATGTCCTATAAAAAGATGGTATAAAAAGATTCACATTTGTTTAAAAAATAAAACATTTTATACACACAAGTGAATGGATGTGTGACAAAGTGACTTGTCTGTGGATTTGTTTGGACAACTTCACACATATTTACATAAGTAATTAATTGTTTAAATACCTAAAGGTACTCATGGTCCATTTGCACCTCCTCCAGGGCAGACATCTCAGCAGACAGACGGTCTCTCCACTGCGCTGCTGAGACGGTGTCCTCCTCCCCCTCATCCTCCTCTGGGCTGTCCTCTGGGCTGTCCTCTGGGGCCACAACATCTCCAACCCCAAGGCAGATGTTGTGAAGGACAGCACAAGCGGCGATGACCTGAAAAAGCTGCAGTATTAATTACATGGATAAAGACTATTATAGATATTATGATAAATACTGTATTTTGAAGTGAATTACAGGAAGTTGTTGAAAATGTTTGAAAGTTTGCAAACATGGTTATCACTTACATTTGGTGCAAAGGTGTGGTGCACCTCCAGGGTGTGAAAGAAGATGGCCCGGAACCTCGTCTTCATCATTCCAAAGGCACGCTCAATAATGGAGCGTGCCCTGGAATGATGAGCGTTGAAGCGCCGGGCCGCCACACCCTGCACCGGCCGCTTGTAGGGAGTGATGAGGGGGAGAGGACGCTGGAGGCAGGGATACCCTCCATCCGCCAAGAGGAAGTGCCCTGGAGGAGGATACAGCCCTCTGAGGTACAGAGGGCTGTAGCGGAGGACCCTGGAGTCGTGGACTGACCCAGGCCAGCCCACATAGATGTCCATGAAGCGGCCCTGATGGTGCAGGAGGTTCAGCAACACACCAAACGAGTCCCTGCTCAGCCGAAAATCTGGACGCAAATCTCCATTATTAAAAAAAATGTCCAGCACTGGCACCCTCAGGTTTACCCTGCAGTAAGGACTCCTATCCTGTTGGAAAAACAAATACAAAAAGTGAATGTGTCATTCCAGATTTTGTAACTACTCTTTATAAATAATGTATGTACATAATGTATGTATAATATAATCATTTTTTATATGCAATAGGTTAAGATCATTAGTTAAAACGTGGGCAGTGGTGACCTCTATTGGTAATGAGTATTGTTGCAATGTTTTTGATGACTATTCATTGAATTAAGTGTAATGCTAGCTCTATTAAAACAAAGGAAAACGTTTTAACTTTAGTACCATTGGTCTTTGTTATGTTTAGTACATCTGTAACAATTTCATGCTAACCATTTTTGACTGTCAAAACAGTATAATCTCGTATAAAAAACGTAACTTACATTGTGGGTGCGCAGAAGGACCACTCGTCGCCTGCGTGCGTGCCTGTCCCTCTCGAGCTCATTGAATAAATTGAAAATGATGAAATACAACATTGCTAAGTCGGGATCCATCCTTACAAAAACAAAATCATGAGCAGATGGAATCAATCCTGGCAACGATTCTGTAAATACATAATAAAAAAAGAGTAGAAACAAATTAATGACAACAAATACAATATTTTGTCTTATACTCCTGCAGTAGTTGTGGTTGTTAACTGCTATAATAATTAGACATCAGGGCAGAATGTGTATGTAATTTTTGTTTACAAAGTACACTTATCAGCAGTCCATATACTAACAATAAGTTAGCTTTTGACTTCAGACAATTGTAATATACACAAATCCAAGTTATTAATCTGTTTTCAAAAAACATGTTTCAACAAATATAATGCAACTTACTTATATACACAAAACAGATGAGCAAGGGCCATACAAATATATTGATTACATTAAAAAAGTGCTAAATCTACATAATGCATATATATAATGGAACTAGTAATTATACCATTTATTATAACAAAGAAAATCCCTCATTGCCTTCACTTAGGGTTGTCTTGTTTTCATATTTGACTATTAGCATCAGGGGAGCTTGTCAAAATGAGTCCCCGCGTTTAGGAGTCTTGTCTGGGCATCGGCGCCGCCCACCCCCGCTGTTAGCTAGTGGATAAGTCCGAAAAAAAAATCTATTTTATCACCAAACAGACCTGTGATATGACAATAGAGGGGGGTATTTCTCGCCTCAAATGTTATTACAATTAACTATTATACCCTAATCAAAGCGTATTTCAAACTTTTCACCTTCCATCATGGCGGCGCTGTCCTTTCTCTCCGCTCCGCTCTGAGTCTGGTTACCAGGCAACGAAGGCAGCTGCTGTCCAAATCCACCTCAGGTCTCGCCTCCTTCCTCGCCTGTGGCTACGCGGCCTTCCCTCGATGCCTACATATCCACCCTACGCGGCCTGATGCCTAGCGTTTTGGACACAGCCCTTGCCATCATGAGGTCACCCCCCCCCCCCTTGGGCACGTGCCGTCGCGTGCAGATCACAAGGGCTCGGGCCTAATAAAAATCACACTAGCAAATCTATCATTCAAATATGCCCTGAAAGTTAAAATCTTTTGAGATTACTGAATTACTCATGAATTAATGAAACCAATCAAAGGTCAAGGCAGTAAAACCATAATTACATTATTTTTATTTTAAAATGAATGTTAATTGTAATAAACATGGTTGCAATTTGTGTTATACAGAGGGAAAACCATCCCTGTCTCCTTGGTTCTTCTCAAATATCAGATAAGATATTTTTGTATAATTTTCTGAACCGACCAAATACATGTTATAGGTGTGAGGATACAGTCAAATGCAGCATGTTATTCTGCATCCTAGTGAGGGCTTCAGTGTAGCTTTGCCATCGCTCCATGTGGCTTACACACTCTAGCCTTCTGCTTATCAACACATCCACTTATTCTATTTCCTCTGACCGGTAAGTCCTCTCTTGTCTCACAAAAAGGAGATGAGTTTTAGGCTGAGTTTACACGGAGACAATGGGGCAGTAAAACGGTATAGTTGGATGTTGGTTTCTACCAACCGTTCATACGAAGACTGTGTTTCAGGGGGGTGAAAACGTAAGTGTTCAGATCCAGCCTGCAAAGTGGGACAACTCAGAAACGCTGCACAGCAGGGAGCTCTTTCACACCCGCGAGAGGGGAATAGGTGTGAAATCCCCCTCTGCTCTGACCCCCACCTCCGCGCTGCTCCCCGCACGTTAATTTGGACATGCGCAGTAGCGGAGAACAAACAAAAACAACAATGGCGGCGGTCGCACTGACTAGCTTCGTGGGCTTCGAGCGCGGCACAGAGGATAATTCTACTCCCTCGTTCGTCCAAATGAGACCACGCGAAGCTCTAGGATCAGTTTCCATTTTCCCAGATGCTGTTAAAATGCAGAATGATGTTGGTGCGTTCTGAGGGTCTGGCACAGGAAGTGAGTATACTGCCGAGAGGGGGGCTGGGGGTCGTGTGAGTGTTGTAAAGTTTCTCTGCCCACTACTGCCCGGGCGTTTTTCAACCTCATTTGAATGCTGAGAAATTTGCATTAGGAGCCAGGTTGTTTCTGTTAATAGCCTGGAAACGTCTGCGCAGCGTCTCAGTATAAACAGGGCCTTAGTTTCCAAGAAAAAAATTATCCCAGTAAGGAAGCTGCAAAACATATCCACACGGTTGTTTTTTTTTTTTGTAATGTCAATACAACCCCACATCATCTTTGAAATAAAGTATAAAAATAGGTTCTGGCCTAGATAATTCTACATTCTAAATTGTAGATGGTAGAGTGGATTAACAGGAGGGTTAGAACTGGGAACAGTGAATCAAGTTTTGGAGAAAGCTGTCTCATGTTCAGATTACATGGGATATGGGATTGATGTTACCCCCATCCAGTGGGGGTAACATCCGGATTGGGGATGTTGAATTGAGTTGTTTTGACGACTAATCGGTTGATGGCATTTTGGCCAACCACATTTCAAACTTAGTTGACTAATTATTTTGTTTAAATTACAAAATTCTTTACTGGAAAACAGCAAAAATTGGAATGGATGTTATGGAGAAAAAAGACTTAATTGTATTTGAGTTTTAAGGCTCACAAAATGGATTCAGTAATTGCCGTGGAACCGTTGTATTAATAGTTGAAGTGACGTCACTGTAAAACAAAATTATATGCACGACATCTACTTTAATTCACCAAGAATTTCTTTGGTTGATTTGAACAATCATTACAGATTTGAACCGAGGGCATTTAGATAGAAGTGCCTGAAGTTCCTGTTAATGGATGGATCTAAAAACAACTGCAGGTCTGTTTTTGATAAGGGAGAAATGTTGGCAACATTGTTAAAATCTCAAAAAAGGTCGACCTTATATTTGTGTCAGTGCATTGGCTCT